CACTTAGCACAGTACCCTAAAGTTTGACTATATTATTTTTGCAAATAGGTTCAACTTGTCAGGCCAGTCAAACTTTATTCTACCACCTTCCGTGTATTCTGCTTATTCTGAAGCTAAACTGTTCCCAGATTTCAGTATCACGGAGCCTATAGGAGCAAGGCTGAATTTATTTGATAATCCCCTCCAAATTCAGCTAATTAAATAGAAAAATGTTAGTAAAATTAAGCATTTGTTCCTATAGTTAAAAGTTTACTTGAACAGCATTTTTCTCTTTTTTGGACTGGTGGTTTTGGCATTGTAAATCTGCCTTCCAAATTCACCCACAAACACGTTTCTGTGGAAACAGAGCCACAAATAGAAGCAGTGGTTATTGATTTTCTTCTGGGGCTACCACCTGGTTGCTGCAAAACCCTGGAGAGCATGTGCTAATTTCCATGTATATTTGATCTCCTTTTTTCCCCCCTTCATCCCATCCCTACCCACAGGGTCTAAAATAAAACAGGCCTATCTATTATTTATCAAAAGGCTAGTAAATTTGTTGAATAATGAAGTCTGACCTCTGCTGGTTTAGTAACGTCTCCTGTGTGTGGCCTCTCCTATGCCCGGTGTTATTCTGTTTGTTGGGACCCCACCCAGGCTTGGGCAGCTTGAGTCGGGCCCTGGTGCTGCATCCAAGGTGCTCCTTCTTATGCTCCCCAGTGCTCCCAGCCTCTGCAAACTTTGCTCACTCTGATCTGCTCTTGTCTAGGCCCTCCACCTGCTTGTCACACCTCTCAGCTCTTGTCTTGGGTACCTCCTACACATCTAACTGATTGCACTTCTTCCTTTAAGAAGTCTTTCCTGACCCATTCTTTAGGCTAGGATAAATGTCCCTATTGAATATTTCTGTAGCTCCTATAAATGTTGATAATAATAGACTCAACTGCACATTAGAAGCTTACAGAAGGCTTAGGTTAAACAGAAAAAGATTGGCATCGTGTATTAGTTTTCTGTGGATACTATAAAAAAGTACTACAACTTTGGCAATTCAACCAATAAACAAAATTTGTTCTTTCACAGTTGTGGAGGTCAGAAATTCAACATCAACATGCCTCGCCTCTAGGGGTGATTCGTCTCTTGCCTCTCCCAGCTTCGGGTGGCTGTTGGCAATCTTCGGCTTGAGACCACGTCACTCCGATGGCTGCCGCCACTGTGCCTTCTCTGGTCTGTGGTCTCTCACGTATTTCTCTTATGAGGACACTTGTCATTGAATGATCCAGGATGCTTAGTTAATTCTTAGTTAATTACATATGCAAAGACCTTTTGTCCAAACAAGGTAGTACTTATAGATCCTGAGGATCTGGCACCTAAACAATACAAGGAAAAGCAGCCATTGATAATGAGGATAAAGAGGATAATGAAGATAATGACTTGAGGACAGAGAGCTATTCAGACTAGTGTCCTTACCTTGGTGGGCCATGTCATGCTCCTTCCCACATCAGCGACTTCACTCCTGCTGGTGTGTTCGTTTGAGAGACTCTTGCTATCCTATCTTACCTCTCTTTAAAGTTCAGCTCAAGTTTAACCTCCCCTGCAAAGCCTGCTATGAACAGTAGTGTAGATAATAAAAGTAGCTAACATTTATCAAGAGCTTTCCACTTGCCAGGCATAGTACAAAGAACATTAATTTCCCCACTGATAACCCACTGTTCTTTCTTCTTTTGGACTTGTTATAACATTTATATTTGTACCACCATAAATACTATTTAATTATATACTGTCAGATGTATTAATTGTAGGCTATGCATGTAGCCTATATATAAATTCCTTATAATACATACCACGTACGTGCTGTTTTACTACTACCACTACTACTAAGGCTAATGTTTATTAGAATACTTGCCATGGGGCAGGAGCTGAGCGATGTACTCGGATTATTACTTTTAATCCTCAGAGCAATTTTTCAACATGTGTACTTCCTTTATTCTTACTTTTCAGATGAACAAAATGAATTTTACAGCTAATTGTCCATGGTCTATAGGTGATGAAATCAGAATTTGAACCAAAATTATCTAACTTCAGAAACCACTAAAATGTATATATCTTCTCTATTTTTTGCTATATCTTGTAGGGGTCTGCCTTAACTTCCCATGCTTTTAGGTAGACCTGGAGCTTCTTAAGGCCATACTTCCGCTTTCTATTATCGTCTATTATGATGCCGAGTCCTTGAAATAAAGTTTCATCATGTCTTGTTTTTGAACACACTATGATGTTAAAGAGTTCTTTAGCCAGGGGCTATAGGTTTGGTCTCCTTAGCAAGCAGGTAATATCTCTAAAGTCTGTTGCAGTGCAGATGTAAACTGATTGAGAGATTCAGCTCAAAATGCAAAAACTACTCCTTTACCTCACCTCTTGTCATGAGCGTATATCCATGGTATAGTCTTTCCTATAAGTCAGCTGTGGAACTGCTCGGCTACCTGCAGGCTGAGCAGTCCATCAAGCACACAGTAACTATGCTGTTCAATCAGCTTTTATTGAATGCAGGTTCACTCAAAATAGAACATCAATGTACATTAATATCCTACTCACACTCTAACAATCTAAGAGAAAGATAACGCACACACACAGAGCCATCAATGGGGGACAATGAACCCAAGTCCCAGAGTCTCAGTCTGCACATCTGGGAGGCAGCATGGTGGGCAAGGAAGTTGTCAGCATCTTGCAAGGAAGGATCTCTAGAGCCAGATGGGCAGCAGGGAAGATGAATTTCTCAGTCCAGCAGGGCAGAGCCTCCAGAGGCTGATGCCAAGGAATATGAGCCTGGTGTGGAGCCGGTTCCACACCAGGCTCACACCAAGTTCCTCTGGTGTGTGGAACTTGGGTCTCTCAGCAGTGGTCTGGCCCTGCCTCAATTATACCTTAAAAGTGGTGGACTCCAGTCTTCTGGGTCCTTTTAATAAGTGTCTAGGCACCCCTGAGGGTAAGTGGGGAATTTTTTCCAGAGCCTATCTGTGGGTGGTCCCATACTGCAAACACAGCTGTTCTGATTTCCTGTGCAGATATCTTAGGTGTGTCTCCTTGTCAAATGTATCTGCTCTAACTTAGGTAGTTTCTCTCTTGAACCAAGGTGTCATGGCTGACTGGCAGCCATCTTGGTTGACATGAGTGACTCCGCTTTGTTTTATATACTTTATGCTACCTTGATCAGACCAATGCTATTTTATTGGTCCTTATTCCATATCACTGGCCCCTCTTTTTAAGTCTGTCCCCATCACAGGTAGGGAGTCACAAATATGGACACAAATTATTTTCTTTCTTGATAGTATAAAGGTCATTAAATTACATATTTAGCATTAATAGCGTCAGTAGAAGGCTGAGCATGGAATGAGATATAGACTCTGAACGTTGTGACAACCCTCTTCAAGCTCTAAATTCAGGAAGAGAATTATAGGGTCACGCAAGAATTTCCAGGGCTGCTTTGTTTGCTATTCTTCAACAACAAAACCTCTGTCCTTCCAGAACCATGTCTGAAAAAACTATAATCTGGTAAGTTTTCCTTGTCGTTAATTTCACTCATTACAAGGAAAAGAAGATAACAGTGTTAAAACAACTGTTTTTTTCCCCTCAAAACACCCTCAATCAGTTTTCTAGTTTACATCAGTTTAGCTAGAAACCAGCAGAGTTATAGATTTTAACGCAACACAGAAAAACACCATTCAGTTTTTTCCACGTTTGATTTTTGCTTACTTGGTTAATATTCATTTTGTTTAGAGACAATTGTATTCTTTTTCCTGTACAAAAACAGAATTTTGTAAGAAAAAATTTTCTCTTTATGTCAATGAAATTATGAAAATGCTTAAATATTATATTAAGAAATATTAAAAGTTTTTGTTAAAATTACCAAACCAACCTGGCAAATCAAAAAGTGAATCCTTCTGCTCTAGAAATGTTTACTTTGTCAACTGGATTTTAGAAATAAAACACCTACTTTTTTTACAGTGGTCACTCATTTTTAAATGGTGGTAGCAATAGGCAATTGTTATTTGTGAGGGCTCATCAGGTGAGAAGCAGGTCTCGAAATTGTGTATCTTTTTCTTATTTGGTCTTCACAACAGTTTTATGAAGAAGCCACTACTTTCATGTCCCATGAACTGTTAAGAATACTAAAAAAATCAGAGAAGTTATGTCATTTCCCAAAGTCATATAGCCAGTAAGGTGTACTGCTAAGTGTACTGGCCTCTCCAACAATAATGCTAACACTTTATGAATAAACTTTTATAAAACTGACAGTATTTGTGCGACTCTTCTTGTTGGAACTGGAAAGCATTATGCTGAGTGAAATAGGCCAGGCATTGAAGGACAAATACCATATGATCTCACCTTTAACAGGAAGCTAAATAACAAAATAAACAAGCAAATAGAATAAAAACAAAGACACTAAAATAGAGAACAAGTGGGCAGCGACCAGAGGGGGAGAGGGAAGGGAATTTAAGGGGAAAAACGAGGAGGGATTTTGAAGAACAAGTATGAAAGACACAGGGATGAGTTCTGTGGGGGGGGGGGGGGATGGAAGGGAGGTGGGGAGACGGGGCGGAGGGGGGGTTGGGATGGGAGAAATTGATAAAAGAAAACTGTACTTGAAAAATAACTCAATAAATTAAAAAAAATAAAAAAATAAAAACAAATGTTAAAGCTAAAAAAACAAAAAAAAAACAAACAAAAAAAACTGACAGTATGATGCTGCTGAATGTTATCTGAGCCCTTTGCTCCTGGAAAGCAATGATGGTTAAGAAATCCTCCTACCGTTTAAGGACCACTCCGTGCTGGTGTATTTTGAGATAAGACCCACTTTCATCTTTCCTACTCTTCATAAATTCCAGGATGACTTTCTTGCTCACTTGACTTTAAAAACCCACAGGCCCTTTCCCTGTTCTTTGAGAATTCCTCATTGATAAATATTCTCCCTCTTCTGAGAGTTGACGTAAAGTAACCTCCTCATCTGGTGCATTTGTCTTTTGCAGTTTGGTGCTGTCACTCAGATGGGACCGGACCTCCCCCTGGATCTCTGTCCACCCCACCCAGGCACCGAGACCATCGGAGCCCTTCAAGCTCCATTCCTAGTGGTGACCAATGACTCAGTGGTGAGTCTGACTCCTGGTTCTGTGCTATGGACTCTTGTCCATTGGTACCATGTTAGTGTTTGATTTTTGCACTTTCTGGATACATGCTTGATTTATGGTTCCAGCTTTTTTTTTTTTTTTGGCGGTGGGTTGGTCTGACCATTTGGTGGCCTCTGTAAAGGAATTGATTTGTGGAGATCTTGTCTCTGTCAGGTGAAAGACTACAGATGTTCTGATTTGATAGTATTGTCTGTTTGTCAGTTTGTCTATTTTGAATAGAAATCAATTAAGTCCTTGTACCCACTAGGAAGACATGAGGTAGACAGTGAGTTTTGTATTTCTGTGTTTTTACTTGACCTGTGACAGGAGTTTTAGAATTGAAGGTATACAGTTTTTCTCTCTCTTTGTCCGTATGCTTCTGTCATTGACAAGCCTTGCTTCTCATTGTGTGAATGTATGATAGTTTCCCTGCCTCTGTGTGGCAATGACCAAATCTGATTATGAAGATCTCTGTAAGGTGTTGTGTTCTGATTGGCTTACAGGTAAATTATTACATGCATACATTGAATATGCCTAAAATTCTCAGACATTAAGGAAATTGAACTACTCAGACTATCAGTGTGCTAGATTTTAAGAGTATCCTTCAAAAACCCAGTTAGAAATGTTTTACAATTTCAAGTTTACATAATTTAGGTAAATCTTTGACAAATAGAGTTGTTTAATATTTTCATTTAATGAAAACAGCTATGTTTTCTCTGATTTATCAACATTAAGTATAATATACACATAGATTTTCACTGTATTGCATATTCCAAGGTAATACTCACTTCCATCTTTCACATGACTCCCATTGGTTTCCACGGTGAGTTTTTTGCTTATCTGCCTCCGTAAAACCACAGGCCCCCTTCCTTTTGTTTGAGACTTTCCGTGTTAATACGTGTCTGCCATATCGTAGTGCTCAAATAAAATCTTCTACTCAATTGCCCTGCTCATTTTATCTTTCACGTAACTTGTCCAATTCTCACAACAACCTTATAAAGTAGTATCCATATTCTCATTTTGCGATGAGAGCATTATATCCAGAAGACTTAAGAAACTTAATCAAGACCATATATCAAGTAATGGATAGATATTTGCTGGTTTTAGAGGCTTTACTCTTAACCTGTAGTCTCTATGTCACCCTAAACAAGTGAAATTATTCTTTATGTACATTACATTCAATTTAGAAATGAAATATTTAATAACTTCTGAGTTGGAGAGGAGAGTATGTTATAGTTTTCTTTAAGCTTAAGCTACAGAGACAAAGTTCATCACTCTCTTGAGCAGAAGAAATCAGTTGTGGTATTTTTAAATATATTTTATTGATTATGCCATTATAGTTGTCCCATTCCCCTCATTCATTCCAATCCACCCTGCACACCCCTCCCCCACCATCCTTTAGTTCATGTCCATGTGTCACGAGTTCTTTAGATTCTATATTTCCCCTACTACTCTTGCCCTCCCCCCTGTCTATTTTCTGCCCACCATCTATGCTACTCATTCTTTGTACCTTCTCCCCCCTTCCCCTTCTCCCACTCCCCTGTTGCTAACCCTCCATGTGGTCTCCATTTCTATGGTTTTGCTCCTGATCTAGCTGTCCTCTCAGTCTGCTTTTGTTTTAGGTGTGGTTGTTAATAACTGTGAGTTTGCTGTTTTTTCACTGTTCATCTTTTTTATCTTCTTTTTCTTGGATAAGTCCCTTTAACATTTCATATAATAAGGGCTTGGTGATGATGAGCTCCTTGAATTTGATCTTATCTGAGAAGCACTTTATCTGCCCTTCCATTCTAAATGAAAGCTTTGCTGGATAGATCAATCTTGGTTGTAGGTCTTTGGATTTCATGATTTGGTGCCATGTCCTCAAATGCCACATCCTCTTCCAACCATGTTGTCTGACAAGGTCTGGGCATGGAGGATTTGAGTTCAAGGAATTCGTCTCCCCGGAGGAGAACGTGGCATCCAAATTGGGTTAACAATTGGCTGTCTTATTTTAATTATTTTACTCTTGCTACTGAATACAGACATTGAACTGTACTTACTTATTCCTGTGAAAGTCACCCAAGAGGAGGGAACAGTTCAGGGGAAAACATTAGTCTTCCCCATGAAACTGCCTGAAAGGATGGAAAAATCTCCAGATTCCCCTCTCCCTTATACAAGGGAGTACGACAGCCAGGGTAATATAATTATTAACCATAAAGGAAAACATGTCAAGTTGTATAAATTACCCTGGTTTGAGCAACTTAAAGCGATCAGGACTGCCATGGTGTACCAGAAATAAGAAAAACAAGTTACATGTTTGTCTGGGTGATCAAAAGGTGGTAGGATTGTTAGACACTTATATTTCAGGTTCATTGATTCGCATAATTCCTATGAAGTTGTACAAAATAATTTCTTGACCAGAGAACAAAGTTCCCTCTAATGAAATAGTCCCTGAATGTTTAAAAGTTGTTGGAGTAACAGCCCCTCCTTTACCTTGAATAAAAATATATATCAATTAGACAGGCAAAGAAACAACAAAAGCTGGCTAGTTATTACAAACTAAACACGTAGAAACAGTTACTAAAGAGTCAGAGTTTATAGTACACAGAGAAACATTTTAGACAGAAAAGGATAGATAGCTAAATTAGATATCACAAAGGCCTTATAATGAATTTCCTATTACCTCTACTCAATCTAGCGTATCCTTTTGCCCCATGATAAATTCTGAGAAACTTTAATATACAATTAAGACATTCAAATTCTGTACATACAGCTATTTTTAATTGTCTGATTTATGGCTCTCCTGGTCAAAATAATCTTTGTTTATTATAACTGAATCTATGGGAACTTCCGTATTTTTCCTGGTTACCTTTGTATTGATTTTTTTGCTTAACTGATCATGCTATACTGAAAATGTTAATCACTACCTAAAATGAAAATATAAAAACCTGCTTGTACTTGCAATAAATGGAACAGAGTTTCACTGTCCTTTGAGGTGTGATTACCCATCGTCTGTTACCCATCGCTGATGCCTTACCCACCTTTGGGATCTCTGGACCCTGCTGCAGCTGGACCCTGGCAATTTGGAATACTTCTTTCTAGCCCCTTCTTGCCTGTAAGGTCTCTTTTGAGAAATCAGCTGACAGTCTGATGGGAACTCCTTTGTAGGTGACTATCCCCTTATCTCTTGCTGCTTTTAGGATTTTCTCCTTCATTTTAATCTTGGCTAATGTAATTATGATGTACCTTGGTGTGTTCCTTCTTGGGTCCCACTTCTTTGGGACTCTCTGAGCTTCCTGGATTTCCTGGAAGTCTATTTCCTTTGCCAGAATGGGGAAGTTCTCTTTTATTATTTGTTCAAATAAGTTTTCCACTTGTGGCTGTTCCTCTTCCCCTTTTGGTACCCCTATAATTTGGATGTTGGAATGTTTAAAGATGTCCTGGAGGTTCCTAAGCCTTTCCTCATTTTTTTGAATTATTGTCTCTTCATTCTTTTCTATTTGGTCATTTTTTTTCTTCCTTCTGGTCCACTCCCTTGATTTGAGTCCCAGTTTTCTTTCCATCACTGTTGGTTTCCTGTGCACTTCCCTTCATTTCGCTTAGTTTAGCCTTCATTTGTTCATCTAATTTGTGACTAAAATTAACTAGTTCTGTGAGCATCCTGATCACCAGTGTCTTGAACTGTGCATCTGATAGGTTGGCTATCTCTTGGTCGCTTGAAAGTATTGGCTCTGGGGCTTTGAGCTATTCTTCTTGAACCATAATGTTCTGGTCTGTTTGCACCTGTTACATATGAGGGGCTGAGCCTTAGGAATTCACCATGGTGGGGCCACCCAGTTGCTGGGTTATGAAGATGTATGTGGGGGTGGGGTCAGAGAAAGGCAATGGCGTCTGTTCCGCTCTCTCTCGGATTTCGGTCCCCTCTGCTGCTTCTTGCAAGCAAATTGGGCCCTTCTGGTGCTGGTTCCTGAATGTGTGGGCTTGTGCACCCTCCAGAAACTTGTGGGTCTCTCCAACGAACTCTCTTTGAGTCTGGGAGCTTCTCCCGGCACCTCGACCCCTGAAAGTTTTTCCAATTGGTGTTTTTAGGTTTTATTTACCATTGCTGGGGCCCTGGGTTGTCCGATCTCTATCAATGCTCACTCCTTTGCTTGGTTTATCTGGGCGCAAATGTGCAACCCCGCTCCACCAGCCGCTGACTCTACCCCTCTTACAGGTCTGGCTGAATGGTTCCTTGTTGTCAGACTTCCGTACAGTTCAATTTTCTGTCTGGTTTGGTTGCGTTTTTGTTACTTAAACTTTGATTTCTTTAAACTTGGTTGTGTGAGGAGGCACAGTGTTTCCACCTACGCCTCCATCTTGGCCGGAAGTCCAGGTGTGGTATTAAATATATCGCTCATACAGGGACTCTGTGGAGATAAGTTTGAAGCACACAGCCAGACCATCAACTGTGTATACTGTAGTGGTGACAGAAGACCGTGTGAATTGGAGATACCTTGAAAGATTGTACCAAATACTTTGACTGGGTCCTGGACAGAAGAAACCACCTTAGATTATCACATACCAAACCCACTCCTCTGTATATTGATTTTAAATTATGGTTATTATTTAATATAATTTTAATTGTTTATAAAGTTAGGTGTAATACCCCTGCTAAGAAGCCCTAGTTCCCTTGCATTTTTCACTAAGTGTCTCTTTGCAAACACTGTAGCTTTCTTGTCTAAATATTTCTCCAACATACTCCTAAAACACAATGAACTTTTAATCTCTGGTTTAGTCCACTATTTAATGTTTGTTTTCTGCTGAGGGAATCTGAACAAATAAAACAGTAGGCAATGAAGATGTTACTTCAAAGAGTGGCCCTTACATTGTTGGCAGTGTAGTATTCTAAGATGTTTGCTAGGATTCTCTGCCTCATAGATGCTGCTCTTGTGCTTGACATAACATGTGTACATGTAGCTATTCTAAGGTGAAAGGGGTGGTTTGATCTTGCCTTAAAAATA